ACACACACACACACACACCTACATTGGCATTGTGCTCACAAAATGACTGCATATGCTCTCTGAAAGCTCATTCATGGATGTTTCTCCGCAGCAGTAAGCTCCTTCGCTGCTGCCCTGCCTACAGAGGGAAAGCAGTTAGTTCGTTAATGGTAATGTGGCACATTAAATAAAAGTCAGAGGGACATCTCCTGGGCCCAGGGTTTGCCACACAGTGGGCAATTAGAGAAAGTGATTATACTGTCAAGAGGTTCAAATGTGCTCACTCATTCAGATAGAGGTGGCTCTTTCATGGAGTTAGAGAATTCAATGCTTCTTGCCTACACACCTGAATGGATGCATCTTTCATTTAAGGTTAGAACACCTTTTAAACTTTTGGATATATTTTCAGGTACGTACTTGTATCAGATATTGTAACGCTGCAGTAAGACTGTCTTTTTCTTACTTTAACAAAAACAGAAAAGCGAAATGAGAGCAATATTGAGGTGTCTAAGCCTGTTATGTTTTGAAGCATGTTTGGGCAGGGCTGTCATTGCATGAGTGATAATTCAGCAGTAAACTGCTGTTCTTAGTCATAATGATGTTGCTTATATTGTTATATTCTCATTAAGGTATTTGCATAGCAGGGCTATTAACTGAACCTACAAAAATGTCACTGCAAGAGAAATTAATGTTCACTTTTGGCAAGCAATGGAATTCATTACAGTCTTGCATATTGGTATTATGAAATTTTTTGCGTGCATATAATCAAACGAACTTATAATGATATCAGCCGCATTATGAAAACATATAAAAGGATTTAACACTCACTGTAATTAAATTCCTATAATTATTCTATACTCAGTCTTTGTGGCCAAGTCCTCCATTTGTATTCTGAAAGACTCATTGGAGTATTATAGAATTTGTGCACTCAAAACCTAAACTCTATTCATTTATGACACTGATGTGCAGCCACATCTGTTTCAAAGAGAGAATTTACTCCTGCACAGGTTAAAACTCTTCTGCCTTTTGTCTTCTCCTGTAATTTTTCTATTTCAGACAAGTTTTACTTCAGTTCTGCAAAGGAAAGTTTCAGATCTGCTCCCACAACGGCAGAGTCCCTCTCCGACTGGACCCGGCCAGATTTATCTTCTGACCCGCAGGTGAGGAGCAGCTGGGACAGTAATGAAGGGTCTGAGCCCCAGCTCACTCTGCAAGAGGAGGTGTTCATTTTCTCATCACAGCCTCACTCACCCAAACGAGGGCAAGGCCAGGGTGACCAGGAGAAGGTGGAGATGGGAGATGACCAGAGACAGAGCAAGAGTGGGAGGCGGCATGAGGCCCAACCTGAAGATGACTTCATTGGCAGTGAAAGTGATGAGGTATGTTTCCACTGGGGCAGAGACAGACATAAGTAAACTACTACTTTAAATGCACACGTTTTTGAAGCGCATCTCATGTTGATCTGACTCTAATGACTGTCTCGCTTCAATAGCAGTTAAGCAGGATCACACCACATACACTCGTTTTAACAAATACCTCATTTAAAATCTAGGATTTGTCCATTTTAGTATTAGATTTTTTTTTCTTTCACAACAGTCCAATGTGATCAAACTTCATGAGCAAACATTCAGTGAATCTTTATACCCTCTGTTGGATTCTAGTCTGTTC